CATTCATTTTAAAGCGTAGCCATTCAGCTTTCTAACAGTGGGTTGTTTCTTAAATTTGACTCATTGGTTCGCGGGTAATAATACTTTACGTTATTGCGATTGGAGATTAAAAAAATTGAGATGGAATAACAAATCGTTATCATGAAAATAACTGATTTTTTCATTAAAACAAACAAATGTTGCATTTTATTAAATGGATTGTAACAATAAGTATAATTACGGCTTTTCTTCCACTATTTTAACTCAGTTTGAAACTTCAAATGCGATATAATTTTGGCTTGGACCATCTAAGCTGACTGACATCAACTTGCTATAATTTCTGTTTACATTACATCGCAATTCGATGACACTCTGGCTCAGACACCAGAATGTTTTGACGATTTTTAGCATTCGTTTAGGATTTTCAAACAGCCTGGTCTCTTTTAAAATACTTTTAATTTGTTCTTACGTGGTTTTCCAGATGTAGTGACGACAACATTAAAATTTAAAGAAGAAAATTCTAACATTTAAACCGACTAAACAATAACATAGTAAACTTGCATAATTAAACAGCAACTAAAAATGATAGGTTTTACTAAATCTTTTCCTGTGCAATTATTACTAGCATTGAAGACAAGGATAATAGTTTGTTTGAAAGAGAAAAGAACAGGCTTTGAAGTAAACCTAAAAGCGTTTAACTAGAAATAGTATTTCGAAAGTTATTAAGCACAAAAGATGAATTGCGTTTATTTTGATACACCCTGTATATATATATATATATATATATATATATATATATATATATATATATATATATATATATATATATATATATATATATATATTGCATGTATATGATTTTAGACTTGAAGCTTTGTTCGTTAGACAAACTGAAACACTGTTAAGTCGTTTTAAGACAAAAAATGTTACGCTAATGATAACATACGCTGTGATCTGTATATAGCTACTCGTGATGTTTTATGAGGTAAAAAGTTACATAATCCAGACTTTTCGAGATCATTTCATAAATTCTTGTGGCATTTCGCTGTGACCAAGACAGTGAAACCTTTTTCTTGTAATTAAATTGTGCTCTCACGAGTTACGGCTCGACAAAGAGCCTTTAAAGTCAACATACTTCAGTGTCGAAACGCTCAGCGTTAAATAACTAGTTCCTTGGTTACCAACTGCTTAGATTAAAATTTAATAAAAACAGTAGGGTGTCTCTAAGCGAAGTGGCCCGACAGCTTTCCAATGGAATTTATCATTTGTCAATTAAACAAACACAATTGATTGTATCAACGGAGGTATTTAGCAGCATAATCAAATTAGCCATTGAATAGCTTCGATTTTAAAAATAAATCACTGCTTACTTATTTAAAAAATTCAGTATCTCGCCTGTGTCCCATGTAGACAAATATATAATGTACTGGATTTTGTAATAGACGTCAGGCGGTGCTAATTGGGTATTTGCTTATAGTCCGACTTTTCTACGTGATGACTCCAAGCTAGGAAATGTTAAAAATTCAACATTTAACTTGAAAAAGAAAAGCTTGTATGCAGCCAAAGCGCGCTTACAAATGATATAAAACTATATCATATATTCATCTGTGTCATATCACATTTATGTTATGGCTAGTTTAAACCGTCATCAGTTTTTTCCTAGCATATGTATTTTAGCAGATGACGAATACGAACTTATTTAAATATAAAACATATATACCAACATCTAACGCTTTCGTACTTTTCTATATACGAATTTGTCGATCCATACGCCGGCGTTTAAACCACCAAAATTCGCTGTAAAAATTCTTCGGCAAATTCGCCGCACACATACGAAACCAAACAAGCGCAATTTTCTCGCAACGGTTATGTAATTTCAAACGCTACTGAAACTACTGATTGAGATATAAACTTACTTTATCGTCCACTAATGCTGGTAAAGGGCACAGGAGAATGGGAGTTAAGACTAATATCAAAACTCTCTTGCATTCCAGAATGGTTTTCCAAATCGAAACGAGCCCCAACGCCATAATTCGCAATTGCGACACTCTGTTGTTTGTCCGCCTATATAAACAGGAATTAATTGCCTGTCATGTCACAGCGAATTCCGAACAGGAAACCGTGTGATTAGCTCATGAAAAATTAATCTGACATCATAGCGGAACCTTCTCTATCATTTTAGGTGACAGTATTAATAATTTTGGCTAATATTGTTGACTAATGCAAAATTATTATTGGTGCTGTTTCAGTTTTAAATGTACATAATTCAGTTTTAAATGTACATAGTCATAAATCACAACGAACTACATATATTAAGAGTATTCATAAAAAACATAAAGAATTCATTGTACCATGCATAGAAATCTCACAGCTAAATTGTCAACAAGATGTGTTCGCATTGCTTGTTCCCAGTTGTTGACAAGTCTGGAACAAGTTGCTATCATCTTGTAACACGGTTGACGAGGCCAACAGACTCGCAACAAGTTGTTCCAACAAGTCTGATAATCTGCACGCGTAACAAACAAGTCTGATAATCTGCACGTAACATTAAGTTGATGACAACAAGCTCGTAGCAACTTGTTACGAACAGCCTGTATCAGTCTTGTTGGAACAACTTGTAGCAAGTCTGTTACCGCGTCATCAACCTTGTAAGAAGGTGATAACAGCTTGTTCCAGACTTGTCACAACAATTGCAAACAAGCAACTTGTGTGTCAAAACAACTGCAAACAAGATAACTTGCTACAAAAGTTGTTGAGCTCGACAGACTTGTTACAGCAATGGTTCCAACAATGTGTTATTGTCCTGCAATTCAACAATTTGTCAACAAGTTGTGAGTGACAACCTTGTAGCAACTTGATAAAATAACAGCATTGTTACAACTGGACGACAAGCTTGCTACAAGCCTGTTGCCAACACGGGCTATCAGTATGATGGATGATTCTAGCTATACACTAAATTTTGATCTGGGCAAGAAGAACAAAATCCATCACCACATCTAGAAAGAGCATGTTAAAATTAGTAAAATTGCAAAGTTTGGTTGCGAAATGTTGTAAAATGCGGAAAATATACCCATGCGAAATTTGCAAATTTTGTATTTAGGCCCACACAGACCTGACGCGATTCGGCAACGCGACGCGAATTTTCAGTTTTCAAAAACAAATAAAACCATCAACGGATCAAAATTTTACAAGATATGCAGACCCAAATAGCTAAAATTGCTTAAGCGGTTCCGAATATTTGAAAAACATAGAAAAATATTAAAGTTAAATGTCATTGAAAACTGAAAATTAGTGCGTCGCGTTGCCAAATCGCGTCCGGTCTGTGTGGACCTTTAATTTGTATTACGCACGGGAAAATGCACCACTTTCGGCCCAAATGTGCTGCATTTTCCCGTGCGTAGCCTAATACAAATTAATGGCAAAATTTGCAAATTTCGCAGGGCTATATTTTCCTCATTTTACAACATTTCACAACCAAACTTTGCAATTTTACTAATTTTAACATGCTCTGTTTAGCTGTGGTAACGGATTTCGGTTCTTGCTGCCTGGATCAAAATTTATTATGTAGCTAGAATCATCTATTGAAGAGGTCTAGCGCGTAAACTATGTGTAGCTGACCGGCGACGTCATTAAATACTGATATATATCTCGAAGGAATCCCGCGCTAAAATCTATCACGTATATAGACTAGCTTAAATAGAAAATATATTCCCTTTATAAGTGTACGCGTATGTTTCTTTGTAACTATTATTTTGCTTTACAAAGAAGACCAACTATATGTACGTTAGACTACGACATAGTATCCACGTATGAAAATGATTTATCAAATCACTAGTCTATTGACGCAAAACTGACTGGTCCGCTATTATTGAACGATTTAATTACTGTTCTACAGTATTGCACGACGCAGGCTATATGGCAATATGCACGTACGAAAAGTGATTTAATTACTGTTCTATTGTATATTCTACCTGAAAAAATATCTCAAACGTGAGGTCCACTGAAACAATATCTTAATCAACCATGAAAAGCACCACCTGCATGTTGTGCCATTATGACATTATATTTGCCACGGAGAGCCTATTGAACTCCCAAACACATTCAACATAGTTAAACTGTCGTGGTTTGTGTCTGAGCTACTTGAAAAAGATATCTCAAACGTGGTGGTCTATAGTGTAGGCCAATATTCTACAATAAGCTGTCGTGGTTTGTGTCTGAACTACCTGAAAAAGATACCTCAAACGTGGTGGTCCAGTGTAGGTAGTATTCTACAATAAGCTCTCGTGGTTTGTGTCTGAAGTACTTGAAAAAGATTTCTCAAACATGGTGGTCCAGTGTAGGTAGTATTCTACAATATAAGCTACCGTGGTTTGTGTCTGAACTACCTGAAAAAGATATCTCAGACGTGATGGTCCACTGTGTAGCCGGTAGCGGTATAGTCCACAATGAGCTGTCGTTGTTTGCCGTGGTGATCCAGTGTAGATAGTATTCTAAAATAAGCTCAGTGTCGTGGTTTGTGGGGGGTCTATTATAGGGGGTTGATCGCTCCGCAAACCGTCCTATTTTTGCCTCCTTCACCGTTAATCGCCCGTATTTCTTCGCGAAAACCGTAACCGTCCTTTTTCTTATACAGTAAAAGTTTATCGGCCAGAAACTCCGCAACGGTCGATGAGAGGACTGAAAGGTAGCAGATTTTCGTTGTGAGAAATAAACATTTAACCGCATGATATATATTCTGGAATCTTGTTGAGCGCCTCACAAGTTGCAGACCCAATTAGAACACGTACAATATCTCTCTGAAGAATTACAATACTGCACCGTTTGCACATAGTCGTAGCTATAGCTATAACTATAACTATTATTGCAGCAATTAAGCTTGTGGGGGAGTACATGCAGGCATTCTGTCTGAAAAGGAATTGAAAGGTTTTGCTGCCCTTTCTCTGAACAAAGAAAATTAAAAACAAAATACTTTAGCCGTTTATTATAAAAAAATACTTAAGCCTTTTACAACGTAAGTACAGAAGCTAAAGGAAACCTTAGCCTGTATATTGTCAGTTGTGAACTCTTCTCCCTAAATATTTACCGTGATCATGTCTCTATACGGGCGCTTTCCATTAACACGGCCAGAACGGTCAAATTGTTGAATGGAATACAAAACGCTTGGTCTTCGGACCTATCTGACCGGAAAATTTAGATAATATTAGAATGAGGTCCATTTTGCTAGCTATTTGAGAAACATAGACCAGATCTTTCCATTGATACAGAGACAAAAAATTCGGAAGTGCCCTAAGACTAAGAAACGGGCCCCATATACTGCTTTCTGAACTGATTAATCATAACTGTTCCCGTTAATATGCTTTGCACGCTTAGAGTTTAAGGTTTAAGGTTTTGAATTTAAGGTTTTTCAAAAGAAAACCTTTTTTGAATTAGCTGTATACGGTTTGAAATATTTCATCATTTTCAACCTTTAACGCCGGAGACTATACTATACCTTTGAAACTAATATTTTACTTCCATGCATAATGCCATAGATTTATTTAATTTACATATCTCGAGAACGCCGAACGACTTAAATTTCGTTGCCATTGCAGTAAACTCGCCTGTTTTCACGGCTATATATGGCTATGAGCAAATATCACAGAAGACAAGACTTTGTATAGAGGCAATTACGTGCAACATTGAGGCAATTACGCCAAGCTAAATGAAGATTTAAAGAGTTTTGAAATATTTTTATTTCCTGTAATTTGGAGATAGAAAGCCGGATATAGTCACTTTTCAAGCATTTTGTTGGTGTTTTTTTTTTCAATAATTAATGTATTGTGCTAATTAACGTATCGCAAAAATATTTTCCGGACATAAATTTTTTTTATATAGACCTCTGTGAGAATATGCAGTCTACAATAAATAAAGCTATAAAGCTAAACTTAGATTCGATTTCGTTGAATTTAGTAGTTGCAGTGTGCTTGCAGTATTCAGTAAAAATGTTTAATAAGACCAAGCATTGTCGATTTTGGTACTGCATTATGTGAAGATATGGCTATCTTCAACATTTATTCCGTACCTTATATAAATTAAACAGAAAACATTGTTTTCAGCATATAAGCTTTAAAATTATCACAATATAATATACTGGTGCAAATATATTTGATCTAATAGAAACGTCTCTGCGAAATATGCATGGCTCGCTGCTGTATTAATTGATGTGTGATTCGCAAGTTTTGGGTGCCTCGCATGCCGGGCTCGTTTTTTTCACTAGGCGAAATTTTTCGATCGAACACAAATTTCTATTGTTCAAATTCAAAAGATTTCTGTTTAGTTCCATCCGAGTGCTTGTAAAGGCGGTTTTCCACGAGGCGGAATTTTTCGACCGAATCGAAATTTCTCTTTGTTTCAGAGCTCTCGAGCAGAACTAATTGTAAAAAGACAAAGAGAAATTTCGTTTCGGTCGAAAATTTTCGCCTAGTGGAAAACCGCCTTTATGCAGACCCAAGATTATTGATACTGATAATAACGATAATAAATTGACAGTTTCAACACTGCATAGTAAGCCATTTTGTATTTTGCGTAAGAACTGATCTTTCAAACACTCATTAACAATTCATAAGCGTATTGGCAAATCGTGTCAACTATAATATGTCACGTGCCATGGCTTTAAACCTGATAAAACACTCCTATAATTATACTTTAAACAGTACATAATTTACGAACTCCAGTTCCGCGTGATACTTCCCAAGTTTAGACCATTTTTTTATGGCAGATAGCCTGACTCAATAACAAATTTACTATATGCTTTATTAGATTTTATTTTTGTGAACTGACAGTCAATCTTCAAAAGGAGTTTATGAGTTATGTAAGATAGTCTGCGCATGCTCAACGATTTTCCATTACCGAGTGATTATTTTTTCCGAATTCACCGTAAATCGCCACGAAAATTGAGATATATCACCGAAAACCGCCGTCTCAAAATCGCCAAAACCGCGCCTAACCGACAAACTATAATAGACCCCCTTTGTGTGTGAACTACCTGAAAAATATATCTCAAACGTTGTGGTCCAGTGTAGATAGTATTCTACAATAACCTGTCTTGGTTTGTGTCTGAACTACCTGAAAATTGAAAAAGATATCTCAAACGTGGTGGTCCAGTGTAGGTAGTATTCTCCAATAACCTGTCGCGGTTTGTGTCTGAACTACCTGAAAAAGATATCTCAAACGTGGTGGTCCAGTGTAGGTAGTATTCTACAATAACCTGTCTTGGTTTGTGTCTGAACTACCTGAAAAAGATATCTCAAACTCTGTTGTCCAGTGTAGGTAGTATTCTACAATAAGCTGTCGATCGTGGTTTATGTCTGAACTACCTGAAAAAGATATCTCAAACGTGGTGGTCCCGTGCAAGCAGTATTCTACAATAAGCTGCCGTGGTTTGTGTCTGAATTGCCTGAAAAAGATATCTCAAACGTGGTGGTCCAGTGTAGGTAGCCGTCTACAATAAGCTCTGATGATTTCTGTGCGAGATACCCGAGACGCAGACATCTCAAAACATTTCCTGTTTTTTTCACGGTCTGAGCGTTCAAAATTTTCCCCAAATCCCCCAGTCGATTTATTCCACCTATTATTATGCTAATACATATTCTTTTGAGAGAATGTAATCATGAAAATGCTACTTGAATGTACTTATGAAAAAAAAACCACACTAGACTAGTACTGAAGTGACTAGATTTCAAGTTGTCCCCCCCCAAAACGACAAGGACGGTTGGTCGCTTTTAAGTGTCACTTACCGACTAATGAGTTTTGGTATCACGGTATAATACAATACGTTTAACTGAAACTCTCCACTAACTCGAACTAAATCCAATTTCAGTCCCTGGATTTGACGCAATTTTTTCAGCAATTTACTCCAAACTCCTCGCTAACTTCCTTGGTCAGATTTACCCGGTTAACTTGAGCTGTATTGTTGCTGATCGTGGTCAGCAAACCTGAAAATGTCAAAACATAGCACATTGACAAGTCGGGAGCTTGGATTTTCATTCAGACAACAATATGTAAATGGTCAATGGACCATTTGCATTATAGACTAAATTTTGATCTAGACAGAAATTTTATCACCGCTTGAAAGAGCATCACAAAATTAGCAATATTCCAAAGTTTCGTTGCGAAATGTTGTAAAATGCGGATAATATAGCCATATGCGAAGTTTGCAGTTTTTCAGTCATTTTGTATTACGCACGGGAAATTGACAGCCAAATCGGGTGTTGGGGCATCAATTTCCCGTTTGTAATACAAAATGACTGCAAATTGCAAATTTCGCAAGGCTATATTATCCGCATTTTACAACATTTCGCAACGAAACTTTGGAATATTACTAATTTTGTGATGCTCTTTCAAGCTGTGATAAAATTTTTGTCTAGATCAAAATTTAGTCTATAATGCAGATGGTCCACTTCCAGCCTCGATTCCAGCTATCAAATTTTGATCTGGGCAAGAAGAACAAAATCCATCACTACAGCTAGAACGACCGTGTCAGAATTAGTAAAATTGCAAAGTTTGGCCGCGAAATCTTGTAAAATGCGGAAAATATAGCCCTGCGAAATTTGAAAATTTTGTATTAATTTGTATTACGCGCCGGAAAATGCAACACATTTTGGCCGAAAGTGGTGCAAATTCCCGTGCGTAATACAAATTTGGCCTAATACAAAATTTTGAGGGCTATATCTTCCTTATTTTACAACATTTCGCAACCCGGCAAACCTTGCAATTTTACTAATTTTAACCTGCTCTTTCTAGCTGTGGCGATGGATTTTTTTCTTCTTGCCTAAATCAAAATTTACGCCCGTATTCTAAAAGCTCACTCACACTCAACGAGTGGAGGTTCAATCTGAGCTTTTCTTGAGTGTCAATGCTGTTTTTGAATAGCTGGAGGGTGAGTAGTCACATAGTAAGGTACGACACTAGCCCTCCAGCTATTCAAAAACAGCAATGACACTCGAGAGAAGCTCAGATTCAACCTCCACTCATTGAGTGAGCTTTTAGAATACGGGCGGAATCATCCATTGAATCCCATGTCCCGATAAAGAGATAAAAGGTTAAAGACGTTGCTTAGATCATTACTGATTCAGCTTATATATAGGTACTGTTGGTAGGCACTGTACTTTTAAACACTGTGATAGGGACTGTTTAACTTCTGTATAACAATAATACAAACTTTGTAAGTCCTTTCGTAAGTGCTCACAGTAAGTCAATAGACAATTCCCATTATAGACTTATTTTAAAACTAGGCATCTAGGAGATGCAAATAAATCAACACAGCTAGAAAGAGCATACTAAAATTAGTAAAATTGCAAAGTTTGGTTGCGAAATGTTGTAAAATGAGGAAAATATAGCCTTGCAAAGTTTGCAAATTTTGTATACTTTGTATTGCGTGCGGAAATTCCTGCCACATTAGCAATTTCCGCACGCAATACAAAAGTATACAAAATTTGCAAATTTTGCAAGCCTATATTTTCCTCATTTTACAACATTTCGCAACCAGGCTTTGCAATTTTACTCGTTTTAGTATGCTCTTTCTAGCTGTGGTGATTTATTTGCATCTCCTTAATTGCCTAGTTTTAAAATTAGTCCATAAATGGGAATTGTCTATTGTGATGAATAATAAAACGACTATGCCTAATTATTAAATAAACTCGAAATCCAACTTGAAGCCCCAATTTTTCGCTTATTATTTACTGTATATTATATCTCTTCTTAGAATGACCCCTCCCCGTCGGTACACCCACTCTCATTGAGGTAACCTCTATAAAAAGGCTGACCTTCGTTATGCCCTTCGGTGTCCTTAGAGGGTGTAACAAAACACTCAGGCACTTCACCTGCAATGACGAGGCAAGTTCCGCTTTTTACTTCTGGAGATTTGCCCTCCGCGAACTGTCAAAATGTTTGCAAAGCTGTTCAGCCACAAACCACGACAGCTTATTGTAGAATACTACCTACACTGGTCCACCACGTTTGAGATATTTTTTCAGGTAGTTCAGACACAAACCACGACAGCTTATTGTAGAATACTACTTCCACTGGACCACCACGTTTGAGATATCTTTTTCAGGTAGTTCAGACACAAACGACGACAGCTTATTGTAGAATACTACCTACACTGGACCACCACGTTTGAGATATCGTTTTCAGGTAGTTCACACACAAACCACGAAAGCAGATCTTGTGGAATACTAAATTATTCATGTAGATCCTCACCTTGAGATCAGACACTTGACAAGCAGATGACCCACAGTCAATTGTAAAAATGCATATACTGGACTTCGTGCGTGTTTTATAAGATATGGGACGGAAGACCACCATTACAATTATAGACCAACGGATAGAGTGTTTAAAAAAAATTACGGTTGCCATAGACTATCAGTTTTATAAGGCCGTTACAGACGAGCTCATTTTCTATGATTAATTTTCATGTGACAAGTTTTATTTACTCAACTGGGGCCGTTTCAGTATCAAGCCCGTTTGGCTTAAACGGTGGATAAGTCAAATTTACTTAAATAACACTCTTATATCTCTCGTGAATCAGTTCAATGAATTTTTATAGACTTGCTTTCTATTTTGAGATACCGTTTAAGCTAAAGGCTTGACACAACCGTCCCCTGTATGGGAAACTTTGCTTATTTTTACTCGGTATAACAAGCACATCTGTCCAAAAGCTATAGCATGTTAGCTTTCCAAGAAGGGCTGAAGGGCACTTGTGTCTTGTGATAGAAAAAAATTGGCAAAGTACCAATTTTGCTCGTCTCTGTTGTTCAACAAAGAAAATTTGGCAAAATAATGCGAGCGCTTGCATGTGTTTCGTCAGAAATCTAACTACGTTTTTTAAAAACCGGCCAACGGTAAAAAAAACGGCCCTCAGTAAAAGAGGGAAAGCCGTGCAGAATGGCATGCTCAATATGTGTGCGAAATAGCATGCTAACATTTTTAGAATGGAACGATCTGATCACTGGATCGTGACCATAGATATCTTATATACACTAGATAGCGCATCTCTTTTAGTAAAATTGAAGCCAAGAATATTCCAGTGGTTACCCCCATTTGAATAGATGGCGGCCATGTTGGTAGTTCCCGCTCGCTAATAAACGCTTAAAAAACAACAATAACTTTCATCATTTGAATAGTTTGAAAATGTATTTGGAATAGGTTTAACTTAATGTTTACTGAGTTTCCTGGTTAAGAAATAGAAAACATACGCCAGTCTCTCATTTCATGGGAATATCCTGAGTCTGCAATCACGGCTTCAATTTTTGAATTGAAGAATAATTAGATGCACTATCTAGTGTATATAAGATATCTATGATCGTGACTGGATGGCATGGAGAACAGTGGGATTTTCAAAACAATGAAAAGACTATGGAACATTCTGATCACTGGATCAGAACTGGATGGCATGGAGAACAGTACGTGGGATTTTCAAAATAATCAAAAGACTATGGAACATTCTGATCACTGGATCGGGACTGGATGGCATGGAGAACAGTAAGATTTTCAAAGCAATGAAAAGGCAATGGAACATTCTGATCACTGGATTATGACTGGATGGCATAGAGAACAGTGAGATTTTCAAAACAATGAAAAGACAATGGAACATTCTGATCACTGGATTATGACTGGATGGCATGGAGAACAGTGAGATTTTCAAAACAATGAAAAGACAATGGAACATTCTGATCACTGGATTATGACTGGATAGCATGGAGAACAGTGAGATTTTCAAAACAATGAAAAGTCAATGGAACATTCTGATCACTGGATTATGACTGGATGGCATGGAGAACAGTGAGATTTTCAAAACAATGAAATGAGAATGGAACATTCTGATCACTGGATCATGACTGGATGGCATGAAGAACAGTGAGATTTTCAAAACAATGAAAAGACAATGGAACATTCTGATCACTGGATCTTGACTGGATGGCATGGAGAACAATGGGATTTTCAAAACAATGAAAAGACAATTGAACATTCTGATCACTGGATCATGACTGGATGGCATGGAGAACAGTAGGATTTTCAAAACAATGAAAAGAGAATGGAACATTCTGATCACTGGATCATGACTGGATGACATGGAGAACAGTGAGATTTTCAAAACAATGAAAAGAGAATGGAACATTCTGATCACTGGATCATGACTGGATGGCATGTGGAACAATGGGATTTTCAAAACAATGAAAAGACAATTGAACATCCGGATCACTGGATCATGACTGGATGGCATGGAGAACAATGGGATTTTCAAAACAATTTTCAGTCAATGGAACATTCTGATCACTGGATCATGACTGGATGGCATGGAGAACAGTAGGATTTTCAAAACAATGAAAAGACAAATAGACAATGGAACATTCTGATTACTGGTCATTAAAACCTGAAATTTTTTAATGAGTTTCACGTGAGAGTTTATGCAACTATCTATATTAGAGGCAAACGAGGATTCTGGTTGAATCACAATTTATACAAATTTTATTTCAACTTTTGTAATATTACGTTTCTACAAAACACCGGTCTATCCTACAATGTACCTTCAATGACTACCATTATCCCTCATGGTCTTTCCTCGTCAATCCCAGACTAAATAGGAACTCTTCTTTTGGGCTTCCAAAACTATCCTTTTTGCTTGTAGTGCTCAAGTCATGCCTTTTCTCGACCGCTCGCATACGTCTTGTCTTAACGTTAGGTAAGTCTGGGCTTTTGTTGCATTTTTCACCATTGCGCATGCGCGAATCTTCGAAATTTTCCGAGCCTGCGTTCCCACCCTTCTTATGGTCAGCGGACTTGTCCTCACTTCTCAAGGGCGTGGGTCGAATTTGATTTTGCGCACTATCAGTTTTTATGTCCTTTCTCGTGTCGTATCCTAGACTGCCTTTCGGGCACAGTTCTGTGAACCTTGGTGACGTCATTGGTTTATTTGGTGATGACGTCATTGGCTTATAGTCCCTCTCGAATTGTAACCATGGCAACACGTGTGTAAACACGGGAAATTCCCGCCTTCGAGGTGCCGGGTAATAATTGCAGCTTTCCAGGTACAAGTTGTCGTATCGGGGATAAAATGCCGGTGGGTGAATGGGGTGGTAATAATCGCCGGGATAGTTTACCGTATAGGGATACGGGTGATCATGTGACCAGTTTCCGTACCGTGATTGGCCGGAATTTGAAAGGCGTCTTTTCTCTGGGACATGAAATGCAGATTTATTTGTCGAATTAAGTTTCTTGTCGTCGTTAATCGGGTGCTGTGATAGATGTGATTCTTTGCGTGAAACGTGGAGCTGTTTGCATCCCCCGGGGGGCTGAAAGTGCGGGGTATCTAAAGCCGCTAGGGGCTTTTTCTCCGCGATTGTGTTCTTGTTGTGGTTCTCGTCCATCTTGAAATTCGGTTGAATATTGAGAACGTTGTTCAGCGCTTTTTCGTAAACCTCGGCAAGACTAAATAATAGTCAATAATAGACTGAGATTAATTACTATGTAATTATTGATTATTGTATATTATTGTATATATATATATATATATATATATATATATATATATATATATATATATATATATATATATATATATATATATATATATATATATATAGGCGAATGTCAAGTATATATATTGAGTGTCGAATCATACGGTTGAATATTTCGGTTGAATATTGAGAACGTTGTTCAGCGCTTTTCCGTAAACCTCGGCAAGACTAAATAATAGTCAATAATAGACTGAGATTAATTACTATGTAATTATTGTATATATATATATATATATATATATATATATATATATATATATATATATATATATATATATATATATATATATATATATATATATATATATATATATATATATATATATATATAGGCGAATGTCAAGTATATATATTGAGTGTCGAATCATACGAATAGAGTGCTCGATACGAAAGTAGAGCAGATAAAAGACAAACTTGAGTTACTTCGTTTAAAACATTTATTCACGACAAATTTGTTTCGTATGACAAACTATAAGCTTGCCACACTCATCAGGTGATTCACCTGATGAGTGTGGCAAGCTTATAGTTTGCCATACGAAACAAATATAATTATTATTTATAATAATAAAATTATTTATTATTCAGATTATTGTACTCACTGATGAAGCCTTAACTGGCGAAACGTCTGAGGAATTTAATAAATAATCTCACAATTTGCCTGAAGAAGTCCCTTTTTTGGTTTAAAATAAACCAACCGACAGAAATAATCCAGGCATGACAATCAAATATATATATATATATATATATATATATATATATATATATATATATATATATATATATATATATATATATATATATATATATATATATTAATCAGTTATGTGCGCAACTATATATCAGCAGTTAATCTTCGGAGTTTTCGCCATAAAAGGGCGCATAATCAATAAATCGGGCTTATAGCCAACAAGTCAACTTATTTAAATAAATGTGCTTCGTTTGATAAATTTTTAATGGCCGAAGTATAAGAGTATTTTAACGGATTGCTTTGCCCGAAACCCGAAAAACATCTGCCGTGGACACGCCGTTTCAATTTCGGCAAAGAATTAGCAACGAATTCGCGTCAAGCAATTTCTGGTTAAGTTCTCAAAATAGAAAGTAATATGATTTCAAAAGCCATTCGAATGTCAAAATATTATTTAATTACATAGCTAATACTGACTATAAACAATGATTTATTAATTATTAATGTTTTAAAATTCAAACTGAGCTTTAAAGATTGGTTGGCCGTATCTTGTGGCCCAAAGATGCTTGCCTTATAATAAAACTGACAAATAAAGTCAGTCAAGACTATAGTTTTGTAACTTATAGAATAAGTTTCTTGTAGATTTGCATGCATGATAAATATAATCTGCTACTCTGGATGTTTATTATTTCGAAAAAAGCGGCTTTCGATCCGAGCGCGATTGTTCATGAGCGCAAATATTCAACCGAAGTGAAGATGATCTCGTCATGCTGATATTCACGAAATCATATAATCCTAAAATTTAAACCTTGTACAAATTATATACTGTCAGTCTACAATGAAAATCTGGAAAGATTATTTATAATTACACGTCCCGACTATGAACATTGTAAAAGCTATGAAACTAACACAGTACATACAAACGCATAAATGTAATCCATCAAATTACCTCCCCGTAAATGTGGTAGTTTTCCCCGAATGCGTTTGGGAAGCATTCGCATCACTTGAGCAATTTTTCTTACACGAAACGGCTGCATTAAACGGGTGTGTTTGTCTGTAAATATTGTAACGAAACGCATCGCCGTATGTGAGGGCTGGGTTATCCTCGCGACGCCGTTTCACTGCCAATCTGCCATCCATATTTCAGCTCTGTGTATGGAATCGCCAACGAACTACAAAATGTCACAAAATGCAATTGCAATACGATGTTATATAAGCAGGAAATAGCATCAAAACCTACGCTAATCCCAAAATAAATAATAGTTTGAAAAATTGAACTTTCGTAGCATACGTTTTGACAAGATATACAGCACTTCAAAGCTCTTATGAGATCCTTCCTAAACTCTAAAGCTTTCAACTCTGTTTGCCAACGTTTTTCGAAACTGAAGCGCTTCATTCCACATCAAAAGTTCATTTAGGTTTTATCGTTATAAATTGTTAACGTGGTTAATTGTTGTTTCTTAGTTTTCCATATCGACTTTATTGTTTATGATATTTATCAAGTATATCTATCGCTCGCACAGCTGAAACAACCCTTAATGCCAAATATATCGACTTTAAAAAGTTAGTATATCTTCAAATTTTACCCACCTTTTTGACGAGTCAAGAATTGGTACGAATTCCTTGATCGTTTCCGGCGTTTGGTTTTCTATGTCGAAGTCGTACGACTTTTAAACCAACTCGAGTATGGCAGTACTTTATTAAAATATTAGTTTTAATCACTTGCTAAACAAAAGAATATATGTGTCTTCGAAATTTCTCCAATCTTGCGATACGGTTTTTCGGATAAAACTGCGTCAGAATTCGCTTCACGATCGCCGCAAATTCTTGCCGAAATTCACCAAGGGCCGAAGCGAACTGTTTTGTTATCTTTGAAAGTTATTTTAAAGGAAAATATGACCGTTCAATTGCCTTGTGTATATTGTTTTGTAATGAGCAGGTGTTTTTTTGAATAACATGCCCGGTGTCGTTATAATGCCAAAGATTCGTATGTCTGAATAAATTACAACTCTAATAAGACAGATGGTCGAAGCGCAGAAGGTGCACACATGGGCACTGACCTTTGAAAATTACTGGATTGAGATAATTGATCCTTTCAACAATAGCTACGCCATATTGAATGGATATAGCCTTTTTAGCCAGATCGATGGCCCAGATTTACAAGCCATTAAAGTACCGTGATATTCCAAATTAAACCACCTACATTGACTTTATTTATACCGTATAGCTCTATCAGTTCTTCCTAGAGGATCATCTTTTATTGATCCAGTGTTACTACTGGAGGAAACCTAAACTAAACTAACTTTAATTATACTGGATAGTTCTATCAGTTCTAAACTGTTCTTCCTAGAGGTCCAGTAAGGATCATCTCTTATTGATCCAGTGTTACTACAGGAGGAAACCTAAACTAAACTAACTTTATTTATACTGGATAGCTCTATCAGTTCTAAACTGTTCTTCCTAGAGGTCCAGTAAGGATCATCTCTTATTGATCCAGTGTTACTGCAGGAGAAAATCTTTAGAGGAAACCTAAATGGCTAAACTAACTTTATTTATACTGAATAGCTCTATCAGTGGAGGAAACCTAAACTAAACTAACTTTATTACACTGGATAGCTCTGTCAGTTGACCAGTTCTCCCAAAGGTGGACAAACCAGGAAACATTGTTTCCTAGCCATGTTTCCCAAAGGTTAAAAACATTGTTTCGTTAGGCTTAGCCATGTTTCCCAAAGGTGGACAAACCAGGAAACATTGTTTCCTAGTCATGTACGTTCCTCAAAGATGCACAAACCAGGAAATATTGTTTCCTAGCCATGTTTCCTAGCAAATTTCGCTTTGCGTAAAACATTCAGAAAAATATTTTCAAACAATATTCACTTCGCGAGTCTCACGCGTGTGCGCGATCACATCTTCGGCACTGCCCGGATATCGTCGGCTGTCAGGAACTATAATGTAAACATGGCGATGTGAACAGTTCATTTAAAAAAATGTAGTTTTTCATATTTGGATTATTTAAATATTTCTACGGTTTTTGCCTCAATGGATGACCTCGCGGAAATACAAGCTCTTCTCAGGGCTGAGGAGAAATGTAATCATGTATCCTTTTATGGTAAAAACTTGGTATTTTTGTTGTTTGCCATAGATATTAGTGGGATAATTTGTACATTTTTGGGTGTAGCTTAAAAGTGATAGTTTCACTGAACGCTATCGTATAGCAGAATAGTAACTTTCAGTGTTATTTTTCAGTTGGAAAGCGAATAAATCAATGAAAAGACAATGTTTAACTTGACTGCTCATATTTTTAACCGATTGAGTGCACTAGTCATTTATTGGGTACAAAGCAATTACTTAATGGGTTGAGTTGGTTAACTAGAGATATGGGCAGTTACTAGGTCTGATTAGCTCATTGCCAGAGTGCTCTGCCTTTGACGAGTAAAATTGTGTGGCGTTAGATGGAGTAAGATAATAAAATGGGCTGCAATGTTAAAATATATTGAGCTATTCCATTTATAATAGCCCAGGGTGCATTTTGTGCACAAAAGTGCGAAGATATCCGGCGTGGGTTTGACAATTTACAATACTATCTATAGTTAATGTTGCATTATGTTGGCGTATCTCCGGTGTAGAGTTTACATGGAATGCACCCTTGATAATAGCATGGATAATAATATAAATGGATAGGAAACTAGCTGACGTGACCTAATGTTTTCAATGGGCTGATGGCGTGATTGGATGTTCAAATCTAGTTGCAAACCAAATTCTCAAAAACGGCATGTTTAGCAATAATACAGCTAAACATTTTAGTCAAAGATCAAATAAATATAACCACGCCATTCTACGATGAAAACTCTAAGTATTCCCAGTCAATTTTAGCAAATATTTCAAGCACTAAACAGTGAAAAAGGCATCCCAAATTTCGTTAAAATTTGTGACACCAATTTCGTAGCTACAAATGTAAAAAAATACAAAACAAAGATGAAAAACATTTACCTTGAATACTTTGTCGTGGCTTAGGCATGTTTTTAAAACAATTAGACCAGTTTATGCTTCAATATCACCCTTTTAAAGCGGAAGATATAGCAAAACAACAAAAATGCAGAGAACTTTGGTAATATCCGCAATACGCGTGACGTCACGTTTTTCAACAAGGATGAGGTGAATGACGTCAGGAAGTTTCCTATCCAGTTATTTTACAATCCATGATAATAGGCAACTACCTTAAATGACTTGTGTCTGATCATGGAGTACAACTACGGTGGAATGGTTGATTGGTGGCTAATCCCACCCTCCCTATCTGCGGACAAAACCCACGACTTTTGGTTGAGCGCCGAACGACTCATTTCACATAAGTTTTGTGTGTCCGTAGCAAAAATCGTACCCACAATCTTGGAGGCGAAAGTGAGACATAAATATTTGCAAGTTAATAACTTAACTCAGATCTAGTGTATCAAGGGAAGTATTGTACGAAATTTGGAAAAAGATAAACGGTTATTGGCTATCATCAAGAGACGTGGAACAGCGGGGTACTGTACGAATGTTAACGCATATACATTACATTTAGGGGCTGATTAGGCAAAAAAATACCTTGGTTGCTTATTTCTTGTTGCAAAACCAAAAGTTGGGTTAGGTTTGGTTTCTTTTTGTAAATGCTCACGCACTAGAATGATATTTTACATCAATTACAGAGGATCAAGAATACATTTTGCACCCAGTAACGTCTTGACCTCATTAACTATGGTTTTGATGACGTCAGGAGTTAACCATATAAAACTACTCTAAAATGACCGAGTATATTTAACAATCCAAAATTGTTTGAAATGTTTTTAATCATTTCTAAATTTCAGACAGCAACCAGAGACGGACTTTTGGACCCATATTGATCGCTTAGTCTCACGATAAAAAATTAGCGTGACCCCTCTCTTGACGTAACATGCATATCCTCAATAATCCAAGATGGCGAACAGCTCACTTTTTTCAGTCGAAATATTTTGAAAACTAAGCAAGATCTAAACAATCTGTAATGGAGTTTAATATATAGTTTTAAGAGTTCTTTCAAATGAACTAAAGTATTTTTTATTGCCAATGTCCTTTACAAATTTTATTATCTGCTTTAGACTTTTAATATACAGTTATTGTGGCGACACGCCAATGGCACAAAATCTTCGTCTTGAATATGCCCTGCCAGTGAACAAAGAATTTTCAGTATCTGTAGGTAAGGTTTTATTAATATAAGTTAAACAAATATCATTCGATCAGTAAGTTGAATAATGAATAATTATTCTAACATTGGATGACGTTGAATTAATAAGTGTTAGTATAATTATACATAGGTGATTATTGAAAGTTCTCCACGCTGATTTGTTGCCGTTGAGGTGATTATAACACGATAATCACTTAAGCGATTTTCGAAATGGTGGCCAAAGCCGTTTTGTCAAATAAATGACAAAGAAATGTGCATTTTTTATTTTTTCCCAAATAATCACCTATGAAATTATACTAAAACAATTATTCACCTCAGGCTTGGTGATTATCGTGAATAAAAACCTCGACTTTGTCTCGGTTTTTATTCACTGATAATCACCTTGCCTTCGGCGAATAATTGTTAATTAATTGTTTAACTCTGATCACCTTGTGCTGAAGCAGAAATTACTACGTGAGAGGAATTGTTTATCAATCAGGAATGAGAATAGAGTTTGGATGTACAGCTGTATAATAATGATATTTATTTTGGTGTTTGTTTTCAGAACGTGATGCGGATACAGTTCAAGCCTATGGTATGTACAGTTCAGAGACGGATTTTCATATTTTCGTTTGGGGGGGGGTGGATAAATATCTGGGGGGGGGGGCTGCTTGCATTGGCCGGGGTGTGGTGGCAACGCCTGGAAAGGCCAAGGAAAAAGTTTAACAAAATTTGTTTTCTAGGCCTGCATGGCGAGATCTGAGACCATAATATTGGTAATTTTACAAATTTAGTAGTAAATTTAGTAGTATTTTACAAATTTAGCGGGGGTGCCAAATGCCTTTGAGTGGGTGCAAATCTTTTCTGGGGGGGGTGCGCACCCCCCCAGAAAATCCTTGCCTGGTACAGTTCTATAATAAGTATTCTAAATTTGAGAGTCTCGCTGGATACACACCAAAACTCTCACATCTTGTAACAAGTCTGCCAACAAGCTGTCAACAAGTTGTGTTCGCACTGCTTGTCCCAAGTTATAATAGTTTTGTTTGTGGAAATACCACGTAAATTTATTACTGCAAAGCTTTCGATCCATAAGCCCGGATCTTCATATTATTAGCACTGATGAAGATCCGGGCTTACGGATCGAAAGCTTTGCAGTAATAAATTTATGTGGTGTTTCTACAAACAAAACTATTATATATTTTATCGCCATGCAAACATACAAAGAACTTATTGTCCCAAGTTGTCAACAAGTTTGGAACAAGCTGTTAACAATTTGTAACAACCTTGTTGATATTATCAGACTTGTTACAAGGTTGATCCAACAAGTCCGATACAGTCACGATATAACAATATTGTTACAACCTTGTGTCGTCAACCTTGTGTTGTAACATTCGTGTTATATCATGACTGTATCAGACTTGTTAGAACAACCTTGTAACAAGTCTGATAATGCCAGCAAGTTTGTTCAAGGTGGCTTGATGCAGTTTTCAAAAAGTCAGGTGTTCAACACTTTGACATTTTCAAACTACGCATTTTTAGGATTTATTTAGCAGAAATTGGGTTTTTATATATTTTGATAACTTTACTTTAAAATTATGGTAGTTTTATTAGCAGATAGTTCGTTGCTATGACGACATACGTGTACAAAATTCACTCCAAAATGGCCTATTGCCCCATATAGTTGGAAAAGAAGCATGGTGACCCCCAATTTTCTTTCGTGCGTTGTTTTACTTGGAAGAAAAATTAACAATCGGCAAAATATAAAAAAATTCTGTGATGCCATTTTTTTGGATAATGCGAAAATGTCGCACTCTTCGGCAAAATTTTTTTGGCATTACAGAATTTTTTTATTTTTTGTATAATGAAAGTTTTTAGCGGTGCAATACAGCATGCAAAATTTGAACATAGGTCACCATACAAAACAGAGAGATATAGCGCATTGTTTTTCTAAAATGGAAAATTCTAATGACGTCAGGAATTGACATAAAACGCTATAGAACACGCGCAATGACGTGAGATGGCGCGAGCAACTGCTCACGTCAGGTCATTTTGCTGAACAGATTCTTTCATTTTGTTACAGTAATCAGTTTCCGCAACCTGTACGTAAAAATGGTCACCCGTTTTTTTTCGCGATTCTTCAGCAGGGTTTTTGTGATAACTGCAGTATATCGGGCCACACCTCCTTCTATTTTTGTGCGCAAGCCATTTTAAAGTGATTTTTAAATGCAACTCCTCCTGCATTCGAAAATTGACTTTTCAAAATAATTTAGTGGTAAAGATATACTAGCAGATCCCAAACTATACACATGCTTGTATAAAGCTTGTATAAAGCTTTCACAAATTTTGCGGAATTCGCAGTTTAACGGATATGTACACTCGAATTGTATATGAACTATATGAACTTCTCAAATTCATTAATAATTCATGAGCAATTCAGCCAATGATAATCACCTATTTGAACACAAGATGCCATTTGGATAACCCGGTGAAACTCGATGAAAGTCACTAGTGTTTTCATCAAATATCTTAATTACGCATGCAAAATTACTTGAATAGAATTCCTAATTACGTTATGCTTGGTTAAGAATTCTATTCAAATCAGCAAACGAAAACATTCTGTTATGTCTCGATTCATTTGAGAAGCCATACAAACAACTCGAGCTCGTGTCTCACCGGGATATCCAGACACTCGAAAACAATGTATGAAAACACTCGCGCTTCGCGCTCGTGTTTGGATATCCCGGTGAAACACTCGCTCTCGTTGTTCATATATTACTTCAAAAACTCATTAATAATTCATGAGGAAAACACAATGAAAGAAAAATCATAAGCGTGTCGTATCTTTATATGTGATAGAGATTTCCCATGATTTACATAAACTTTAACTTTGATTATCTCGACTTACACAACGTATTTTTTGAAAATTACTTCGCCAATGAACTTACTAGATCGATCGTTTTTGAATCAATTTAAAACATTCGCAGCGCGTGTTTTCTCAGACCTAAAGATACTCGGCTTTGCCTCTGTATATCTGATAAAACACTGCTGCTCACGTTTTAAATAGTACCTCAATATTTGACCCACAAAAACCAAGCCAGTGTTGCTTCAAAGTTAAACAATTTCCATAATAAATCGTGCGAATTTTATATTTTCAAAACCGCAAAGTGATAAGCTCCGAGTTATTGTTAAAATTTAATGCGAAACGGATTTTCTTTTTTTTGTATGAAAATATTATTGAGTTAATCGCGTCGGCTTACGTATTGTTTGGTTCGGAAAATTGGTTTATTGAAGAGAAAAGAGTTGATTTCATCGATATTTTTATACAATTTGCTTTAGAGGGAGTTCATTTGCGTAAGTTTGGGTTTTTAATTTGTCTTAATTATTTTCAAACAAGCCTTGTCCAGTATATTTTTATAATATAGTCTCAACAGCTTGTTAACAAGATGTGTTCGCACTGCTTGTTCCCAGTTTGTTGACAAGTCTGGAACAAGTTGTTATCATCTTGTAACAAGGTTGACGAGGCCAACAGACTCGCAACAAGTTGTTCCAACAAGTCTGATATCGTCTGCACGTAACAAGTTGTTAACAAGTTGATGACAACAAGCTCGTAGCAACCTGTTACGAACAACCTGTATTAGTCTTGTTGGAACAACTTGTAGCAAGTCTGTTACCGTCGTCAACCTTGTAACAAGGTGATAACAACTTGTTCCAGACTTGTCACAACAACTGGGAACAAGCAGTGCGAACACATCCTGATATCGACTTGACAACAACCTTGTTACGACTTGTTCGCAGATCTCTAACAACTTGCGCGATTCGATGGCTTTGTTTACGATGTTAGACGTATAAGATTGTTTTAAGATGAATTTTGGAAAATATTCAAGATTGCGAGATAATAAAACAAAAAACCTTTTAAAATGTTTCTAAATAATTCATATAATTTTCTCTCTGGTGTAGCTATACGATATTCAAGTTCAAACATTTAAAAAATTCGAGGCCGCGAAATTATATAGCATATAGTAAAATTGACGTATTGTTTACAAAAACATTTTGCAAATCGAGATTGTCTTGTGCCGAGATATAGCCACGGTTTTTGGCTTTGAAGTACTCCTGTTTTCGGCATACCTTATAGCCACGGTAATTTGTGGCTATTAAATACGCCTGTTTTGACATAGCTTATAGCCAGGGTTTAAGGCTATAAAGTACGTCTGTTTATGGCATACCTTATAGCCACGGTTTATGGCTATATAATACGTCTGTTTTCGACATACCTTGTAGCCAGGGTTTATGGCTATAAAGACGTCTGTTTTGGCACACCTTATAGCCACGGTAATTTGTGGCTATTAAATACGCCTGTTTTGACATAGCTTATAGCCAGGGTTTAAGGCTATAAAATACGTCTAGACGTTTTGGCATAGCTTATAGCCAGGGTTTAAGGCTATAAAATACGTCTAGACGTTTTGGCATAGCTTATAGCCAGGGTTTAAGGCTATAAAGTACGTCCGTTTTGGCATACCTTATAGCCACGGTAATTTATGGCTATTAAATACGTCTGTTTTTGGCATACCTTGTAGCCAGGGTTTATGGCTATAAAGTACGTCTGTTTTTGGCATACCTTATAGCCAAGGTTTATGGCTATAAAGTACGCCTGTTTTTGGCATATCTTATAGCCAAGGTTTATGGCTATAAAGTACGTCTGTTTTTGGCATACCTTGTAGCCAGGGTTTATGGCTATAAAGTACGTCTGTTTTTGGCATACCTTATAGCCAAGGTTTATGGCTATAAAGTACGCCTGTTTTTGGCATATCTTATAGCCAAGGTTTATGGCTATAAAGTACGTCTGTTTTTGGCATACCTTGTAGCCAGGGTTTATGGCTATAAAGTACGTCTGTTTTTGGCATACCTTATAGCCAAGGTTTATGGCTATAAAGTACGCCTGTTTTTGGCATATCTTATAGCCAAGGTTTATGGCTATAAAGTACGTCTGTTTTTGGCATACCTTGTAGCCAGGGTTTATGGCTATAAAGTACGTCTGTTTTTGGCATACCTTATAGCCAAGGTTTATGGCTATAAAGTACGCCTGTTTTTGGCATATCTTATAGCCAAGGTTTATGGCTATAAAGTACGTCTGTTTTTGGCATACCTTGTAGCCAGGGTTTATGGCTATAAAGTACGTCTGTTTTTGGCATACCTTATAGCCAAGGTTTATGGCTATAAAGTA